ATTTTGAAGCTGTGGTCCCCTGACAGGACTAGCTTCGCCGACAGAGACGCCCCTCCGTGGGCAGGCGAAAAAGCGCAGCTCTGCGGTCTCTGGTGGGACTTCCATTCGCTGAGGCTCAAACCTGTAACCTCGGCTCCAAAACTGCTGGCTGGTGAAGCCCCAGCTCCAAAGACTTTGGCGAACGGGGCCTCCTTCTCATCTCCTCGGAAGCCTCGTCTAAAACGCTTGACTTTCCTGAGCCTCAGGCGTGCAGCTGCAAATCTACTCTTTTGTTTTGGCCTTGCTCCACGAACGGGTCTCTTTAGACCTGCCGTCTCGTCCACCCCCAGGTACGCGACGCTGTCCTTGATCACGTCCAAGCCGACCCCTACCTCCTGGCAGATGGCCCTGCCGAGCTCCTTCGAAGAGGCTATGAGCGCTACCTTGTCCACGTTGAGCGTGGCATTGATGGACTTGGACATCTCGCGAAACTCCATGAACGACTGCGCTGCAGACCCTTTCGCAATGTCGAACGATGACGAGTCATTTCCGATGGCCGTGTCATCGATGTAGTTCAGCATGGTGGCGGTGGGACAACGATGGAGAAAGGCATCCATTTCCATCACTGAATGTATCTTAATCGCAAAATCCGTAAACCCATCTCCAGCTGGAAGACCGTGCTCAGCATACAATGGAACCTGCGCGCGATGGCGGCCGCAGCGTATGATTCGTGGCGCTCTCCGAGCGTTGCACACCAGCTTGAGCCAACATGCCGGGATCCCCACGCGAATACATTTCACACGCAACAGCGGCAAAGGAATCGACTCATAATACTTGGGCCAATCAATGACCCATAATGCTGAGTGAAGGGAGTCTGCCTGGTTGGCTTCAGCTCGTGCTGCTTGCAGCCATGCACAGAGGATTGCTGATCTGCCCCTGGACGCTCCCCAGAACTTTCGGTCCAAACTGTCTATCGCTCCAGAGACCATGCTGCGCCTGGCTCGCTGCCAGACCCTGTACATACCAGCATACAGGATATTCAAACGATTGCCTCCAGCGGGCGTGCCTAACATGGGCATCTGAATCCAGCATAGTTGCTTGGGCAGCATTCCGATGGCCTCCGATATCATCCAGGTGCTACTGAGAACCTTCAACCCAGCGTCTCCCAAGAGCAGGGCATGTCGCGGGTGGAAATGATCAAAGGAAGAGGCCGTACCTTTGGGGAATGTCATCACAACTTTTCGGATTTGGTCTGGCAACAACCTCGGGCATGTGGTGCGATCTGGTATCCATGCGAAAGGTGCCGTGTCGGTCGCCTTCCAGAGTCTGCGGTATGCATCAACTTCACCTTCAACGATGTCTCGTGGGTCGCCCGAGGCAACTTCACCTTGTGATACGGCTGGAACAGGTATCTTGCGCACCTTCGTCACCCGATGTAGGGCCCTGGCGCCCTTGGCCGAAGCTTCGATACACCAACATTCCCATGCCTCCATAATATCTCGCATCTTAGCTTTGCTGGCGAAATCGACGTCATCTGCGATCTCTTCGACGAACTGGATGATGTCGTCTACATTCATCGGTATGCATGCAACCATCGTTCGAGCCTGCGAGACAGATGCGTCCAATCTTCCACTGAGCCCTTGACCACTGTAAGGAATGGCAAGGAAATTATCGACCTCTTCAGAACATTGCTCCATGTGCTGCGTCCCAGTGAAGAGCTGAGTTATCGTAGTTAGACTTGTTGATAACCACTGCCATCCATCAGCCACCGCTTGGGCCATCAAATCAGGCTTCTCCTGGTAGCTGACATCTACCCATCTCGGGTGTAAGTTGCGTCCAAAACAACCTGCCTGCACTAGATCGTATCCTGTCGCACGGGCAACCTCCATCGCAGCAGTGACCGCGAACTGCCCCCACAATCTTTATAGAAGCGCCCAAACTACCGCAATATCGCTGTTCTCATCGAGAGCCATGTCCAAGCACGCATTCGCCAGGATGCGGTGTGTGGACCATGTCGGGCCCTCACGAAGCGGCCCTGTGATGCGTTCAACAGGAAGAGCAGGCGTGACCGTGTATAGGAAGTGCCGAATCTTCTGCCCGTGGTCGAGTAAGTTGAGCAACGCTGGACGGTGAGGCCGCTTGCTCCAACGCATGTCGGCCTCCACTCCCTGAAAACCTCGCAGCGCCGCATCGTTCATCGCGAAGTAGTCGATGGTCGACGCTCCTGTTCCACCACGGCATGTGACCTGCTTCGGTACTGCCATGGTGCTGTTGGCCAACCTTGGGAAACCTGAGCTCTCGAGCTCAGTCACAGACATGTTCCAGTCGGCGCCAGCAATGAAAGGAGCCTGGATCTGAGCAAATAAAAGTCCCATACGAGAAATAATATCACTGTTTACCCCCGTCACGCCGATGCCGTCCTTGAGGTATGCATTAATCACATGCAAAGGCGGCCAGCCTGGTATATCAATCATCACGTGCTGACAGCGATGAGGGAAGACCACGTGGTCATGGTGATCTGGTGCCCTGAGCCCAAGATCATTGCGAACCAAAACGGCAACTCCAGCAGAGCAGGAGTTGCGAACTGTGCTTGCTCGACTGGGACGACGGGGAACTGCCATCATCTTCCATCCCCGAGCATGCGTCCATAAGAACATGGATTCCAGGTCGCCTACGCAAAACCCTATTTCCTGCAGCAGGAGGATGTGGGCGGAGGACTTCTGAATCTTCTCTTTCACCGTCTGCTTGCCGCCGTTGCCGTTGAAGCACTCCACGACGTAGTGCCCAGGATTCTGATCATGCTGTGGCCGCTTCGTCTTTCCCTGGGCAATCGGCAATCCACAGACTCGAATAGGTGCATATCCTCCCTTCCCCAGCTCAGACGTCCATCGCGCGGGGGCATCAGGAACAACGTTGCTTCTTCGCAAGCTCCCTGAGGGCCCCTTGAAAGCTGGAAAGAGGGAGGAGGGGGAGGAGGAGGAGGAGGAGGAGGAGGAGGAGGAGGAGGAGGAGGAGGAGGAGGAGGAGGAAGGAGGAGGACGAGCAGGAGGAGGAGGAGGAGGAAGAGGAGGAGGAGGCGGACGAGGGGGAGGAAGAGGAGGATGAGGAGGAGGAGGAGAACGAGGAGGAGGAGAAGAAGTGGGAGGAGGAGGAAAGCGGTCAGAACATCCACCCCGATAATAACCACCCCGGCACGCGAGGCCGTTTAGTAAACGCCCCCACAGAAGGAATCAAACAGGGAAGGGCTGTTTAGTAAACGCCCAGGGCCGTTTAGTAAACGATAATTGTCGGGTCCAGGTGGTTCTTCCCCTCCCTGGAGAGGAGGAGGAGGAGAGGGAGGAGGAGGAGGAGGAGGAGGAGGAGGAGGAGGAGGGAGAAGGAGGAGGAGGAGGAGGAGGAGGAGGAGGAGGAGGCTCGAGGATCGTCGGAGACTTCAGGAGGCACCTAAGAGGAAAGAAGGGAAGGTAGGAGGGCCTCGGGATGTGAGGCCAGGGAGTGTCCACGTGATGGTTAAACCAGGAACTCGGAGGATAATGTATAGTATGACCGTGGCTGCGCTGTCTCTCAGGTGCCAGCAGCCCAGGTGCGCTGCTTCTGCATCGCCCAACAAAATCTCGACCACACGAGCGACACGTAGCCGCGACCGGAACTACTTCGCGTGGTGCCCCCCGCTAGGCCGCATCGATGTATCGATGCTCGACTCGATTCTGACATCGCCTTGACGGTTGACCACAGCAACCGTCCCTCTACTGAGGCTGTTGCCGTGCACACCCGCAGTCCAAAATGTTTCAGCGAGCCCGTCTGAAGCTAACACGGGGCCACCTCACCTCCTCCTCCTCCTCCTCTTCCTCCTCGTTCCCCCTCCACCTCCTCCTCCTCTTCCTCCTCCTCCTCCTCCTCCTCCTCCTCCTCCTCCCCCTGTTCGTCGTCCTCCTCCTCCTCCTCCTCCTCCTCGGTCACCTCCTTCTCCTCCTGCCTCATCCCTTCCCGCCACTGCAACTCAAAAGGACATTTGCAAAGCCGGGGCGTGCACTATGCCCCCCCCTACCAGGGCCTGTGATTTGATGTGGCCTCGCTCCAGCCCGTCATGGATTCACGATATGGCGCCGCCCCTCTCCCGCCACAGTCGGGGCGTTGACCGAAGGAACCCTAAATAAGGAGCGAGGCTTCTTTTTCCATAAGTTAACCTTCGATTTCCTGTCGAAAACATAAGGAAAGCCTGTGGCAAGCTGCGAAACACTTAAGGAACGCGGAGCCCCTTCCCAACGAAAAGGGTTCCTTCTTCAAGACCCCGACTGTACTCAATACGGCCTCATCCTAACCCCCGAAATGCTTTTAACATGCCCCCCCATTCGGCCTTTCCACAACGGGCGACCCCTCATGATCGCTGCCGGCCTTTGCGTTCTGCCTCATGTTCGGGCACACCCCGAGGACGGCCAGTCAAGGTAGCCACCCATTTGGGTTATCCTGGGGCTAGGGGCAGCACCTTCCAGCGCAAGCGATTGTCCCGCACGACTCCTGCCATCTGTTCGTCAAGTAATATCCTGATCCCACGATTGTAGGACGGGCGCTCTCCTTTCTAGTGCGATCCCTGGCGGGTCGGTCCTTGCAGACAGCGCTGCGCTTGCCGACACACTCTCCTTCCAAAGTGCAACAACACTTCATGCACGCTATCTGGCGTCGCCGCTGTACGCACAGCGTGCGACTACGGCTCAGCAGCGAGTGTGATGAGCGCTGGGTACCGCCCAATGCACTCAAAAGCCAGAACTGGCAAGTTCCGCTGAGTCCGCCTGAAGCACTTTTGGCACGCTCGCCTCTGGCGAATCCAATACATCTGGTGCCCAAATGGGTAAAGAGAAGGATAGTTGGGATGAGGATACAGGTGAGGAGGCCGAGGAGGATCGCATGGGAGGGCAGACAGGACGAGAAGGAGGGTGAAAAAGGAGGAGGGGGGAGGACACGTAATAACAGCAAGGGCATCGCAGAATGGAGAGGGCGAGGGGCAGGCAGATACGAAGAGCGACCTTGATGTTGGCGAACATCAGGAGGAGCGCCACGAACAACGACAGGGCGACCTGCGCATCGGTCAGGCCGTCCTCGGGCGGGGCCGGCATCGTGATGTCCTTGGCCTTCTCGAACTTGCCGCCCGGGATGCGCGCCAGTGCGGCGGGCAGCGCGGTCAGGTAGCCTGCCGCGGCACCTGCCACGAGCGCGCTGGCGCCGGTGGGCTGCGGCGCTGGCACGAAGGCCACCGGCGCCAGCTGCAGCGCCAGGGCAACGGCAGCTCCGAGGGCAAGGACGCGGCGGGCAGCGCTCCGGGCCATGCGGGCCGACTGGGTCTCTCACGGCTTCGCGAGGGGTGATCGGGTCGCGCGGCTTTGGCCTTATTGGCAAGGTCGGAGCCGAAGCAAGGGGGATGGAGAAGCCGCGAGAGGAGAGAGGAGGGGACAAGGAAGCAGCAAGAGCATCGGGGGGAGGAGGAGGAGGAGGAGGAGGAGGAGGAGGAGTGAGGAGGAGGAGAGGAGGTGGAGGAGTGGAGAGAGGAGGGAGGAGGGGAGGAGGAGGAGGAGGAGAAGGAGTAGGAGCAGGGAGGAGGAACAGGAGGATGAGGAGGAGAGGAAGGAGGAGGAGAAGGAGGAGAGGTAGAGGAAGGAGGAGGAGAGGGAGGAGGAGAAGGAGGAGGAGGAGGAGGAGGAGAGGGGGGGGGGAAAGGAGGAGGAGGAGGAGGACGAGGGAGGAGGAAAGGATGAGAGGAGGAGGAGGAGGGAGGAGGAGAGGAGGGAGGAGGGAGGAGGGAGAGAAGGAGGGGAGGAGGAGGAGGAGGAGAAGAGAGGGAGGAGGAGCGGAGGGAGAAAGTAGGAGGAGAGGAAGAGAAGGAGGAAGGAGGAGGAGGAGGAGGAGGAGGAGGAGGGAGGAGGAGGAGGAGAGGAGGAAGAGGAGGAGGACGGGAGGAGGAGAGAGGAGGAGGAGGGAGGAGGAGGAGGAGGAGGAGGAGGAGGAGGGAGGAGGAGGAAAAGGAGGAGGAGGAAAAGGAGGGGTCGGAGGAGGCGGCGGGGCACGAGCACGAAGCAGTGATGCGGGCAGGGCCGGGGGCACGAGCAGGAGCACGGGGAGGACGAGGGGGAGAGTAAAAGGGCCCCAGAGCACACACATAAATACACATATTAAAATATTCCCTATATGTTCCCATATTTTCTCGGTTTTTGTCTTCCCCCCCACTCCCCATAGTTTCGCATATTTTCCTGGGGATCGACGATTAATGGTGTCTGTGTGTTTCTTTCCCTCCTGGGAGAGGGAGGGTACAGTGGGAGCTCGACCACCAGAAATCTTCCACAAGAAACCCAACCCTGAGACCCCAGGGCGTCCATGGATTCTGGTATGGGGGCGTCAAGCTGTCCCTAGCAAGGCCATCGAAACCCTAGAAACCCAGGGCACCCTGGATACAAGCGGGGTGTTTCTTGGCATGGGTTTCCACTGTGGGCGAGGATGCCCAATGGGAGCTCAAGCGAATGGACTGTGAGTCGCGTATTTTGGCGGCGCGCACAAGGGGGTGGAGGGAAGGGGGGGGCTTCTTCGAAGGAGGCTGCTTCTGAGAAAGCGCCGGCGCTTCTGAGAAGGTGCCGGCCTAACACCTACAGATAAGGCCTGCGCCTTCTAAGAAGTAGGGGTGCTTCTAAGAAGCCATCCCCCTCCCCCCACCCCCCTCTGCGCGTGGCTGAGTATTTGTGGTTGATCCCTCGTGCAGCTCCTCCGCATAAGGTACCGATGGCGCGTCCGCCCTTGCAGCCGTGGCCGTCCAGGCATGCTTGCGCTGACTGTCTGTATCTGAGCTCTGGCCGTGGCCGTGGCCGTGGCGGCGGCGATCTGAGCCTTCGGACTCCAGCCCAAGCATTGAGCGCAGAGATCGAGCGCAAAGCCGACGCTTGATCTCCGAGCTTGGACCCACAGCTCGGACCGAACGACTTGGTCGCAGACGCGCTGCACCTTGGAAGTCTCTCGGGGATTTTCTGACCCGGGTCAGTCCAGACCTGGGTCAGTCGGACCTTGCAGAATCCTGCAAAGTCCTGCGAGATCCTGCGCCCAAGCCTGGGTCAATGCGAAGGCTCCTGCAGAGGATCCTGCACCCAGCCCCGGGTCAATGCGACCCTGGCTCTGATGGATCCTGCAGGATCTGGCGCTCTGGCTGAACCCCATTTGCATTGACCACCGTCTCTTGAGTCGGCTGTGGACAAGCCTCCCTTCAATAAACCACCCCTGAATGAAAACGGCCTAGGACCGACACCGACGGACCTGGACCCGCAGAAACGACGGCCGCGACGCCCTGCCGCGAACCGACAACGGCCAATTCGCTAATCGACGTGTCAGGGTAGGAGGGTGATCAACCTCCGATGACCCCCGGTAGCATTGTCCCCTCCTCCTCCTCCTCCGCATCCTCCTCCTCCTCGTCGTCCTCCTCCTTCGCCTCCTCCTCCTCCTCCGCCTCCTCCTCCCTCCTCCTCCGCCTCCTCCGCTCCTCCTCCTTCCTCCTCCTCCGCCTCCTCCTCCCTCCTCCTCCGCCTCCTCCTCCTCCTCCTCCTCCTCCTCCGCCTCCTCCTCCTCCTCCTCCATCTCCTCCGCCTCCTTCGCCTCCTCCTCCGCCTCCTCCTCCGCCTCCGCCCGCCTCTTGGGCCCCGAGTCGATCGTGATGCCCCTTGTCCCGGCAGGCCTCCCCGTGCGCACACTTCCAGGTGTCGGGGGCCTCTGCCGCGCGCTCGCGTGCCCAAACCCGTCGTGCGCCCCGCGGTCGGACACAGGGGGGGGGGGGAAGGACGAAGCGGAAGAGAAGAAGAAGAAGGAGACGAAGAAGGAGACGAAGGAGAAGAAGAAGAAGAAGAAGAGGGAGAGGAAGGGGAAGAGGGAGAGGAAGGGGGAGAGGAAGAGGGAGAAGAGGAAGAGGAAGAGGGAGAGGAAGAGGACGAGGATAGAGGGGGGAGAGGACGAAGAGGAAGACAAGATGAGGAGGGAGAGGAAGAGGTGGGCCAGGGGCCATCCATGAAACTACTCCAACGAGCGAATGCCCCGCAAGGAAGGGAGGAAAACCAGGGGGACTAGGCGGCGGAGTGGAGGGAGGGGCTCGCTTCTGTCAATCGGCGCTCGCTCTACGAGCGGCAAAAGGAAGAGAAGGAAGGAGACCGAGAAGGAGGAGGAGGAGGAGGAACTGGAATGAGCAGCAGGGGGGTCGGAGGAGGGAGGAGGCAAGGGGGAGGACAAGGACGAATGGGAGGCAGGATAGGGCTTGAGGCTGCGACAAAATCGCGGCTGCTCGACGAGGCCGCACCGTGCCATGCTCCGGTCTACCCAACAACCTCGACGTGGAGGCCGGGCGGGGCGAGCGAGAGGGCAGAGGAGGACCACGCAGGGTCCTCCTCGCTGCTGGGCGAGACAGAGCGCCGCGTCACTTCGGGGCAATCTTCAGGATGTTCATACAGGTGCGCGCAATCTTGTCCAGCGGGGTGGGCGAGTACTGCGTGCGCTTGTGGTGGCAATAGTCCAGGAAGATCTCCTTCCACTCGTGGGAGTTTGTGATTTTGCCGATGTAGACGCCGAAGCACAGGGACGAGAAGCCCGCAAGGGTGACAGAAGGCCAGAGCCAAGTCTGCACGTAGGGCACCATCTTCACCTCACCGTCCTGTGGCGGTGGGGAGGGGGGCCACCACAGCCAGGTCGCCAGGCTACCTCCGCCAAGGGACTTCTGACCACAACCTCAACAATGCTTGCACGTGGCGGTCCCTAACTTTGGCTCTGCGGAGGCACTGCTTTTTCATACCGTTGCGCTCTTCGTGTCGCTCGGTGTCGCTTCTTGCGTCAGGTGGGGCCTGCTGAGCTACATGCGATACGCCAGCACTGATCATTGGTTCATGCAGACAAGCGCTGCTTTCTTTCTTAAATGAGAGCGGGCACGTCGCTTCGATAAGTCTCATACAGAGGAAACGGGTGGTACAACTGTTTCTTCCCTCCCCAACCCCCCACCCACCTTCTCACTGCAGCTGCAGCTGGCTTGGGAAAGCCTCACACAGAGCCATACACTGTACAGCAGATGTGCTTCGAAGAGGAGGCATGAAGGGTTGCAGCAAAACAGATGGGGCACAACATCCACCATGATGGGCATCGCCTGTCAGAAAAGCCGTCCTAAGCAAGCTGGCGAGACTGCGAAAGCTCGACTCAGCGGTACATAACATTGCGCATGCGGTCGGTGAGGTAGGCCAGGTGAGCTGCGAAGCAGCCATCGTTCTTGTCGTGCTCCTGGATGATATGCTTCAGGTTGTCGGGGAGCGCGGGGTCATTCAACATGTCTGGCACCTTTGCCCACGGGCCATGCGTGCCGATCCAGCCGCTGGCGGTCGGGTGCCTGAACTTTGGCGTTGCTGATGTCCACCTTGTTGCTGCCGCCGAGGTACTCGATGATGACGTAGTCTTAGGTCGGGCATGCCCCCCTACAGGCGGATTTTGGACGAATGATAAAACATATTCCAAACATTGTCACACATAGTCAAACATACGCAAAAAATCGTCCCCGCATCATTGTTCTACTATTTTTGAATATTCCTCCTGTAGAGGGACACGCCCGACTGAAACGTAGTCGACCTCTGCCAGCGCTCGCGAAGCCTGCACCACGAGGCCCCACGCCGACGCTGCTGCGGCGCCAGCGGCCCCCTCACGGCTGGAGCGCAGCCAGCCGACCACCGCTCCAGCGATGCTGGCCGCAGCCGCGCCGAGCAGCGCTCAACAGGTGGTGTAACGACGGGCCAGTCCCTCTACAGAATGAATCTTCAAAAATAGTCAAAAATAGTCTGGGGATGCTTGTTCGACTAGTGTTTGGCAATTGTTTTGTGATTTTTCTTGGCTGTTTTACATTTTTCCTCCAAAGTCCACCTGTAGGGGGACACGCCCGACCTAGAGGTGGTGCCGTCCGCCGCGGGCTCGAACGCGAGCTCCTCGATCAGAAGTGCTGGCTGCTGCGGGACAGTCCAGGCGACAGGGCGCTGCAAACAGGCCCTCGATTGGCACTGGCCACGCGGCACAAGACCGCCATCCAGGGCCTGCGGCGCTTCTGGGCCACCGTGGTGGTGCTGGCCGATGGCCGGAAGCATGGGTCGAAATTTGAGAGCAACAAGCTTGAGCCCAAATGGCTGCGGAAAATTGGGCCCTGTGCTGAGTGCCCTATGTGTAAATGCTGCAAACCACTGTCTGGAGTCCACGCGAATGCATCACTTTTATCTCCACCGAGGGGAGTAGTCCCCTGTTCTGGTAATGGTGGCATTAAGTAGGCCTCCAGGCAGCCCAGATAGCACCACCATCACCGGGATCAGAGGAAATTCTTCCCCGCCGCAATTCACCCCCGCTCTTTGTGGTGGTGGTGTTGTTAACCTGTGAGCCCGCGATCCTTGCCCATCCGCTTAAAAAAAATTCGCCGGGCCGACAGCCACGAGATTGCCTGAAACACTGGTGTTCGGCTTTGGCGATGGTGGCGCGAGCCTCGCTCGAGCCACAGCGGCCGTGGGAACGAGAGGGGGAGAAGGAGGAAGAGCGATGAGAAGCAGCATGAACGAGAGAAGCAGCACCAGCAGGAGGAGAAAGAAACTGTTGCTGCTGCTGTTTCTCCTCCTCCGCCCCCTTCTCGCTTGCCACCACGGCCTGTGCCCTACTGGCCCTCGGACTGTGCGGAGGGCCGCGCTGATCTACAGGATCGGCACTCCTTGGGTTCAGCGCCAGACCCAGAAGATCGTGCGGATCTCCGATAGGTTGTGCTTGTGTAAGTGTAGCTGATATTCGTATTGATAGTATTGTTATGGTTGTTATGTTTCGGTCGTCGTCGCTGGCAAGCTTGTGTTTATGATGTAGTTGATGAGCGAACAACACGTATACACACCCATACCCATAGGGGGAGGGATGTGGCTACGGGTGTGTGTCGTCGGATGGTGGGTCCCGCTCGAAAGGAAACCTCCGATGGGGTCCGACAGCCCTCCGATACTCCTATCGGTATGGGTGTGTGTGTGTGTGTTCGATGTGTGCGTGCCGTCCGTTCGTGACTAGCCTGTTTTCCCATCCATCCTGTGGAGTTGGGTCCTCATTTTGAAGACACAACGCCCCGCGTCCCACTCACTCACCCACTCACTCCTCCTCGTCCTCGTCCTCGTCCTCGTCCTCGTCCTCCTCCTCCCCCTCCTCACCCTCCTCCCTTCTCCATGCGTCTCACCCACCCAGTACATCGCTTCGTGGCCCCAGAGGGAGCTCCACGTAAGGCCCCAGAGGAGGGGGGTACCACATGCGTCTGCCACACCCAATACAACCTTTCGTGGCCCAAAAACGAGCTCCACCGAAGGCCCCATGGGGGGTACCACATCCGTTTGCAACGCCCAGTACAGCGCATTTTGGCCCCATAGGGAGCTCCACGTAAGGCCCCAATGGGGATGGTACCACTTGGGTCCGCCACACCCAGTACACCGCTTCGTGGCCCCATCCACGTAAGGCCCCAAGGGGGGGGGACCACATGCGCCTGCCACACCTAATACAGCCTTTCGTGGCCATGTCGGGAGCTTCGCCGAAGGACCCAAGGGGGGGTACCACACGCGTCCGCCACTCCCAGTACAGCGCTTTTTGGTTCCATAGGGAGCTCCACGTAAGGCCCCAATGGGGGTGGTACCACACGCGTCGGGCTCCACCGAAGGCCCCAAGGGGGGGGGGGACGCCACACCCAAAACGTACAGCGTTTCGTGGCCCCATAGGGAGCTCCACGTAAGGCCCCAGGGGGGTACCACATGCGTCTGCCACACCCACTACAGCGTTTCGTACCACATGCGCCTGCCACGCCCAGTACACCTCTTCGTGGCCCTATAGGGAGCTCCGCCGAAGGCCCCAGTGGAGGTGGAAACATGCGCCCGCCACGTCCAGTACAGAGCTTCATGACCTCATAGGGAGCTCCACCACAAGCCCCACTAGGGGTGGCCACATGCGTCCGCCACACCCATTACACCGTTCCGTTGCCAGTGTGACCGTCCGCATGCGTCCGGCACACCTAGTTTGGCACTTTCACCCACCCAATACAGCGCTTCGTCGCTTCATGGAGAGCTCCACCGAACCGCCCGCATGCGTCCCGCACACGCAATTAAACATGTTCACTCACCCAGTACAGCGCTTCGTGGCTCCAATAGCGAGCTCCACCGAAGCCCCAGCGGCACCGCCCACATGCGCCCCCCGCACCCAATTTAGCAGTTTCACCCACCCGGTACATCGCTTGATGGCCCCATAGGAAGCTCCACCGACGCCCCCACTGGGACCGTCCGCGTGCGTCCGGCACACCTAATTTTGCATTTTCGCTCACCCAATACAGCGCTTCGTGAAAGGAACGTATACGATCTGATTTTTTTTTTTTTTTTTTTTTTTTTTTTTTTTTTCATAGGGCTCTAAATGAAACCTGAAATGGCTGCAATTCAACTTCCATCTACTCTGCTCTTCTACTTGCTACACTGAAGGTATAAATTCCCACGCTCCTCCTACACCTGGTGCGAGCGGTTCCTCGCGCACGGTGCCCCTACAAAGCTTTCGGCAGTGGAGCGGGGGTTCACGGAGCTCTGCTGTTGGACCAGCTTGGGCCCAGAGCCGCTGATGTCAAAGAACATCGTTTTGCTCTTCTCTCTGACTGGTGCTGCCGAGCCCGGCTCAAGCCATTCCTGCTCTTCCAACAAGTTCAAATCAAGATTTTGATTCGCAAGCTGTGGTGCGAGCTCGTGTCTTCCGCCACGTGTGGCGTAGCCGGGCCTCTTGCAAAATTTGTCGAACTTTGGTCTGTCCAAGTACTTTGTCATGAGATCTCCTGGGTTCTCGTCAGTGCCGATTTTTCGTATGACGAAGTCGTTGTTTGCGAGTCTTTTTTGAACCCACAAATACTGGGTGTGAAGGTGTTTCACTTTACCCAGTCCTAGCCTAGATGCTATTCCTTTGCCGGCTGAGCTGTCTGTGCTCAGACGCCCTTTTAAATCAATGCCAAAATCACACGCTAAAGACAATGCCCCTAACAACACACTTGCACCTTTTACTACCCCGTAAAATTCTGCTTCTCCGGAGCTCAGTGCGATGACGCTTTGTGTGCTGCTCCATGTCTTGATTGCGTGTAGACCGAACATCAATGCTCCTCCGTTGGTGCTTTTTCTGGTTCTTAAACAACCTGCGTGGTCTGTGTCAACAAGCACGTCGAAGAAAGAACATGACTCTTGCAATGGGTACTCGAGCACTAAACGTGGACACCCTTTTAAATAGCGCGCAAATCTATTCATCTTGTTCCAATGTCCTACTATTGGTTGTTGCATTCCGCGTGCCAGCTCCTTTGCTGCGTATTGGATGTCGCTACGGTCTTGTGCAATGTAGTTGATACGCATGCAAAGCGATCTGAACTTAGTAACCATGTCTGGAGCAAGTAGATTGAGGTCTCCATCTGAATCGAGCGCCTCTTTCACACCAGGAGTGGAGCACGCTTTCGATCGCTAATCCTGGATTCCGCTGTCTCTCACAATCAATTCAACATGTCGTTGGTCACACTCGTACTCTAGGCCAAATCCGGTCCAAGACACAATCCGGTTAAGAATCCGGACAATTTTGTCATCACCGTCTTCGGGTCCTAGTGTTGCTCGCACTTCGAGCGCAAGTGATGACTCCAACACTCCGGTGAGCCATTCAAGGCCGTCATCGTCGGAAGACGCTGTGGAATCGTCTCCGTGCACAACTAACCTCACGTCCCGCGTGGGTTCGTAGAAAATGCACGGGCTTGAACGAATCCCGCTTGGTTTAAAGTTTTCGTGTAAAATCGTCCCCGGCCTTGCGCTGCATCTCTGTCGCCGTGCATGCAGCGAACTAGTTTGCCGACCATGCCGGGTTCGGCATCTTGTTCTGGAAGCTCAATGTAAACATCTCGTATGGCATCAGCGTGACAATGCGCGCGGACGGCACCGATGAACCTAATATTCAAAGGCTTTCCAGTCTTGTGGACCTTTTGAGTTGCCACGTGGCTGAATAGAAACTTCTTTTCCTCAAGCGGAAGCGTTGCCGCGAACAGATCGGTGCATTTGTCTCGTTTCACCTCTCTTGCAACTAATTGTGCGCGGATCTCTGGATTCTGATCGTCTCCTTTATTAACGATCACCCACCTGACCGAAATAGTTGGTTTTCCTGTTACTTCGAATGCATCCGACCTCGGAACTTTGACGTAGACCTCGTGCTTTTTGTATTCCCCGATTTCTTTCAACATTGCTTCTTGCACCAACTCCGCTGGCAATTTAGAACCTGTGTTGTCATCAAACACTTCCTGTTCAGAACACCGCTCATCAAAATCAACATGGGGCTCTTCGCAACAAGCTGTCCCTATTGAGAACGGGTAGGCTTTCCCGTCTGCCTCCAACTGCTCATGCAACCCTCTCAAAACAGTTGCGTGGAGCCTCGGAGACAACAGTGCGGAAAGATGCACGTCCCCATCTAGCTGTAGACATTCACTGACAAACTGACGAAAACTCGCTTGATCTGGTGAGCTCTGCTTTCAGCTCAGACGCAATATACAAACTGTTCGTGATAAAACAAAACGGCCTGTTCACATTTGCGTTTGCGCTCGTTCGGCTTGAAATTGCGCATGATGTCTCACATTGAGACAACGACTGGATTGCCAGATGTTTTGCCGGAGCTGTGGAATCCGGCTGAACGTCCAAAAAATATGTTCCACTATCTCTCTGCTTCGTGTACAAGTCAACACAACCAAAAACACGGTTACGAACACTTTTGGGATTCCGACCATTGCCAGCAGACGACGCGATCAAAAACATTGGCCTTCTTTCCTGGACAACGGCTCGGGCTGTCTTCAAATCGTCGCAATTACTGAAATCAACAAATCTGTTTTTGTTTACACATGGAACGCTGAAGTCTGAAACGAAACCTGGACTCAAACCAAAGTTACATGCAAGAGAAGACGCACGCGGAGCTTTAAGCACTTCCCTAAAATCACCGGTCGAAGCTAATCCAGAAATCTTGCAACATTGCGCAACACTGCACAAATCATGCTTAGATGCGTTAGAAAATGCGCTGATTGCCGGTTTCCCCGGTTCAGGCATTGGCACGTAATTGCGCTCTTGGTTTGCCGGTTGCTGCGCAGAGCCGGACGAACATGATCCACCTGTATCCATTGGTTCTTCAAGAACATCGCTTTTTCGCTTGTCTGTTGGATTTGGTTTAGTTGCTTTGACTTTGACTTGAGGCGCTTCCCCCAGAGGTCGTTTGTCCCTCTGTTCGTGTATTTCTTGTTGTTCCGTTTTCGGCCTCTTGGCAAGAAGTGGCCCCTGGTTGGATAGCCGCTGCGCCGCTTTGCGGATTCGCTCTCTCCCTTCAATTGTTTTCTCTAATTCGTTCACGATTCGCTTTCGACATCCTTCGTCGTGCGCAACTGGTGGGGAACCTGTAAGCTGAGCATGACAACCCGCACAGGTAGGAGTGAAACCGTATCTCAACAAA